GAAAAATGCCAAAATATTGTAAGCATTCTTGAAGATAGCTGGGCTTGCTTGTCACGGATACATTTGTACTAATCCCGTCTTAGATTAGCCGAGATGGAGCAATTGGAGCAATACCAACGCTAATGTGGTCATGATCCCTGTAAGTACTTGAAATTTGTATTGTTATCAGCTTTCCGTGCCCCGCGTTCAGGATGGGCCTGTGAATAACATGTGTTTGCGCTTGAATTGGAAAAACATACCTAGCAAATAAAAATCTCAATGAAGCAAAAAAAAAACAAAACAAAAAAACAAAAACAAAAAAACCGAGACCTCAGTGTGCTAAATCGAGATCCAAACATTGTTGTCTCATTCAAGTGACCGGAAAATAAAGTTTAGTCATCCTTTTCGAGGCTAAAAGCACACTGGCACATTCGTTCCATGATCGAACTGAAATCAATTCCTACCCCAACTAGCTGTTCGTCAAAACTAAGAGAAAGTACCGTGTAAAATTGGGTGACTATGCTTAGGACATGATCGCCAAGACCCTGAGAATTACAGCGATCAAAGAAAACGTGACAAGGTCATTCAGTAATTTCGGTCTATGGACCGATTTAGAATCGAAGTAATCTTTCAGCAAATAATAAATAACTACTTTGTTTCCGCCTCACATGAAATGTCCGCAAATGTCATTTGAACATCTTCTAACCGGGGGTTAAACGAGCCGCGCTGGTCGTGTACCTCACGTCCTGCTTCCGGAAAAAAAAACAAAATCAACGTTCTCTTGGAATTGGAAAGAAGAAGTAACTGACCTCGCTCCCAATGTGTGGCTTCACAGCTCAGTTGGTAGAGCATCGCACCGGTATTCGCGGAGGTCACGGGTTCGAATCCCGTTGAAGCCCTGATTTTTTTCAGGTTTCTTTCCAATTGCTTAAATTGGAAAATTTACTGCGATGATCATTCTTCACTTTCGGTCATGCATGTTTGTTTGTTGTTCGATAGTTCAAATTAGTAACAGTAATAACATTCGACTCAGATACTTCTCTGGGCGCCAAAAATCAGTACCTCTAGCTCATAGATCGCACGATAGAACTTTGAACCGTTGGTCAATGCAAGGCAACGAAAGGAAACTCTGCATCATTCCACACATACAAACTTATTTCTTGTTGCGGTTAATTTCTCCTGCACACTTGGTTAAACAAATTCGATCTTGTGCTCTAATTGTTTCAAATTAGTTCCACGACAGGAGTCGCTGCATGATTTTCAATCCTTTTCTTTCATTCCATTGCAGAAACAAAAAGGGACGAAAAACACTATTTAGAGCCTGACTATGCGAAATTCGAAGAAGTATCTGTTGACAAATTAAACAAAACAAAACAAAACAACACAAAATTAAGAACTAAAGTGCATGCAAATGTGGAATTGCGGCTTGAGCTCCAACGCACTGTAGCCGGCGGTCACTTAGCCCACTTGCACGAATGAAAAGAATCAATTGCCCTCGCAATTGCCAACCGAGAAATTTCGAAACTTTGGCGGTAAGCGAGTTTTGCATATCAGTACTAAACAGAAGAGATAATAAGGTAAACTTTACGTCAACTAACACGCTTTCTTTTCAATTGAAATCCCAGTTGAATACCTTCAGTCGAAAAACAAAAAGTTCAATTCAAGCATGACCCGTTGACGTCATTACGTCTTCTTTGGAATTGTTTTTCTTAGTGATATTTCTGAAGTGATTCGAACTTTACCATCGTGCTGTTGAAAACCAAACGGGTTGTTCACACTACCACCATTTACTTGAACCAAGCGTCTTTGTTACTGGTAAGTGATCTACTCAAGCCAATATACGAGCTTATCTATTGGTGACAGGGCGCTTAGAATTTGATTTAAGGCAGCACTGTTTGGCCCAGCTTCTTGCGGGCAGACCGTGTCCGACGGTCCGATCTGACACATACTTGTTTCATCTTACTACTAGTCAATAATGCTCACTTTTCGCATATATTTTATTCGGCTAACACTGTTTATTCAAATGCCACCTTCTATTTAACTTTCCTAGTTGGTAGGAGGGGCAAAGAGAGATAATTCCGTCATTAGAGTCAAATGTATAAGCGGCATAATTATTTTTGGTCGGTCAACATAGTTTGTTATAAGACCGCATCGATCGAGTAAGCTGACTTCGAGAATACATCTTTTAGCATTTGGCTTCTCACAATTTCTTTTCGGTTACTAATGGGACCGTAATGGACACGTTGGTCAACATTGAGTTCGTTTGGCGCGGCGCAAGCCACATCCCTAATCTTTGAAACTTTGTATTAAGCTGATCAAAACAAGGCCAATTCCACCGTAATTCAACAACACATAAACTTCATGTCACAGTCACAGTTTACATATATACATGTGGAAGAGTGCAGAGAATCTTCCCTTTTCAGTGCGACGTGCAGAGCTGGTTATCGCCAGTTCCGCTCCATAACTCAGTATTGACTTTGTGGAAGCTAACAATGCATAACCTTTATTCTCACTTCCTTAACAAAAAAATTACAATACGAATTAAAACTACTTTGCGACTTGTTCTAAAACGGCGTTGCTTTGTGTGCAACGGTTGCAGAAAGAACAAGAAAGCGGCAATTCTGGCGGTGGCTTGTGCACAGAACTTTTTATTAACTATTGTCGTGCCGCAAAGCTTTGTTTACGGCAAAAAATCGCATTCATAGGATTTGGAGCAACACTTTATTTACTTTCTGTTCGATTGAGCTGTTTGGTATCTAAAAGTTTGTCATGCTGGATAATAACTCAACCCGCGCCGCTAATTAATAACCTAAGTCTGTTGTTGTTCTGTCCAATGAAATGAAAGTCAAATAATCAAGTTGACAGCCCCTTGACAGTTGCATTGTATGTTACCTGTTGCCATGCGCACTTCGATCAATCAGCAATTTGATAAGTTAGTGACTGTCTGCGGAAAAAAAAGATGCTAAAAATGTCCACAGAAAAGTATCCAGCCACTTTGATATATGCGCTAGGCACTTCAGTCCACGGATTTTTATCGGAAGCGAGCTGGCGTTTACGTCTCTAAATGGTGTCATATGCTTGAGCCAATTGTTCCCAGAGCTTGAGGCGCCGAGGATATCCGGTAACATAACAGAGAGGCGAACTGTCCGTCGTGTATACATTCCGTAGGAGACTCAAATGTCCAACTTGATGTGTGGCTCCTATTTCAATTGTGACCCTGCTGAGGACAGCGATGTTTGTTTCATAGAGCTTAGAATGATTATGCTCGCTATAAGATGAATGCTGAAGAATTCTTTAAAGGCCTTGCTGAGAAAGACAAACTTGCAGGTAGTGTTTGCTAGTCTTGACAGATCAGTGATGTTTTTCCGTTTTTGCAACCCTGTTGATATATCTACCTCGTGCGTGCATACTTGCTTTCTTGATTCGCAAACGCCATTGGACGCTCATTTGCTTTTTTTGTATATTTCTATTGTGAAAAATGTATAATCTTAGGTAGCTCTTTAGCAGTTTAAGTCCATTCATTTGAGGAGTTCTATAATTAACTTGCTGAGCTTAGTTAGTCAATTATAACTTCAGCGGGCCTTTTTTCACTTCGCAGTGATCAACTTTGCTTTGCCTGGATTAGATATATTTCTAGAGGAAATTTTAGCCCAGGAAAATCTGAGTGAAAAGGGAGAAAAAATACGGCTTGATTTTGTGGCCATTCTCGACAACCTTGGATCGAAATCACGCGTTCAAGAAATACACACTTCAACGAATAACGACAACGAGTCACCTCAGGAACAATCGCAAGTTTCACGGTCAGGCGACGACCTTGTTTTCGTCAAAGGTTACACCGAAGACAGCACAGAGCAAGCGCATTGGCCAGAAGAAACTGCCGTTCTAGACGAAAAGGTATTTATTTATTCTTATCACTGTGTTTGCTAAATAAGAAACACTGATCGCAATACACATGACGCAGGCTAGTAATGCGGAGAGCACCCGTGTTAATTTAATTGCAACACACGAGTAAACAAGTGAATCGATCGCGGGTTCGAGAGTATCAATTCTAGATGTTCTTTGTCTTAAAGTTTTTTTTTTTTGGCTCGCAATGCTTGTATTCGGATGGGTACAACACTCACGTTCTTTTCCCTTAGAGGCATTTTGTAATGTGCTTGGCGGGGTTGGCAGAGCGTAGCGGGCTAATAGTGACATTCAACTGCTTGATAATATCAAGAACCGCAATTCTTGATACGACAATTATCCAATTCGTGAATTCCGCCAAGCGTTTGCTTTCACAAAGATAGCGCTTGCTTTCACAAAAAAAGCAGATTGGATAGGAAAACCACAGACGTTAATTGATCAGGTCTTGCGGAACAAAGCCAGCCTTAGGATGTTAGGAGTTTTCACCGTGGTAAATTCCTAAAGTAATATGCAAGCGATCGATGTAGTTTGTTTCATCATGCATGTAATTGTAGGTGGAAATATAGTAATTATCGAAACAGTGTTCGCAGGAAGCAATGAAATGAACTACATTCAAGTGGGTTTCCCTTCTAAATGTGCTTCTTTCGTCACACCAAGCAAATTTATCTTTTCAAGTTTGGCATTGTACAAGGTCGTACATATTACAAACTCGCTAATTCACAGAAGTTAATACATAAGATGTTGTGAATTGCGTAGGTGTTTTATACCCACAAACGAATTTCCGTGCCGACCAAAAATTCAGTCATCCTGACTTTTGAGCGGCTCAGCCGAAATTTTTGGCTCCTAGAGACCAGTTTTAATTGTTATAAATGACAGATTCATTCACGTAATATTCTGTTGTTCGCTTTGTTTACCCTACTGTTTTATCTCCAAAATAACAGCTTGTGTGGTTAACGCAACTGCCTGACCTTTTCACAACACCAGATTTTGGAGCCTCTGATTTAGTTCTCATTAATCTGCAATCACGGTTTGACTTTTTTTTTTCAAGCGGATCCTGTGGAGCCATGTGTACCTGTTTAAGCAGGCAAATTGAAAGAAACGTCGCCGGCTCCAATAGTTGTGATTGATGATAAACAATTGTTCTTATACATGTGCTTTTCAGCTTGAACGCTATCTTCGGTGCATGCTTGTTGCCGCAAAACTAGATTCCTAGATTAAAGGTCATTGACTCCAAATCACTCAGTGAGCTAATCGTTGTTTTGTCTTGCTGCTATTGCACAGTTTCTCTTAGTTTATTAGCTTCGTAGGTACCTATCTGGGTACCTATAAAGCAAGTAATTTCTTTCTCAAAAAGTGAGGGGATTATTTCACTGCCGTTCGTTAAGGCATGTCAATCAGATTGTCTACAACCCGTTGTATTATTCTAAAGTTATCCACGATATTTCAGATTTCTTCAAATTTATAAGACACTGTATATAGCAAACGTATTGACACAACTAAGCTTTGAACAAAAGCATAGTTTCAGGAATAAAACTTAACACATCATCAACACAGTGTTGGTTATTCATACAAAAATTCTGATACTTTTAATTGGTACAACAACAAAACATTACTATTAAATCGAAGAAGTAACTAACGTTTTAAAACGTTTCATGGTTAAATTCAAGTACGGTGTAACAGTACTGTAAGTTTTAAGGAATATTTTTGGCAATATATTTCACGTTTTACTGCACTTACATGTAAAAGTGCAAGGAGCTATTGTAGTGATAAACTTACTACATTAGCGTGACATAATCCTTATTTACTAGCTCATATTTTGCATATGTGAAAGAGGAATTTGCGAGCATGTAATATCAGTAGTCAGAATGTTATGTCTGCCGTCAGACTGCAATTATGAGGGTGAAAGGGTGACATAGTTATGTGATAAGAGTGATGTGTGCCTCACACATTGCTAGCATAACATACAGCAGAGGAATATAATTGATATACCATATGTTGTTGAGTATAGAATTGAGTCATTTTATATTTTTCATCATAAGATACAACCCTAAATATGATTGGTCACAGACACTCATGTGGACATTCCTTTGTTTACAGAAATGTCTGTTGTTTTTAGAAGAACAAGTTAAAGTGCATCAGCTCATGAGCTGTGTTTTTTTGCCCAAGCATGTTTGACCTTTGTTACTTCAATTAGCTTGAGATAAATAAACTTGAATTGCTGTCAAAACTTTCAAGTAAACTGTAAACAAGATATACTGAACCATTGGTGTGTGATCCTATTACACTGCTGGTAATAGGCTTACTTTGTACACGCTGATAGTATGTGCATCGATGCATGGGCATTTGGAAAATCAGGATGGCCACAGCCTTCCCTGGTTATAAGTAATAAAACAGCCATGTTTAATTACAGTTGGAACATGCTGACTCAAACTTGGTTATTTCAAATTCCTTTTTATTTCAAGCTCAAAACCATTACCCCTTGGATTTGCCCTCCAGTCATTTAGAACTCTCACTATTTCAAATTATTTTTTGTTTCTCTTGGATGTTTGAAATAGCAACTAGGGTTCAGCTGTATTTCAATTTTCTCTCTTCTCTTCTCTTCAAACATGTCAATTTTCCTTGACTTAAAATAAAATTCCCTGACTTTTCCTTGACTGATACCTGACATGTGGCAACCTTGAAAATACAAAACCCATATTACATTACACTGGTTTTGACACATATGGTTAAGACAGTTTCTAGTAATATCAGCATGTCTATAACAAAACTCGTTCCAACCAAAAGCTTGTCAACCAGGTGGGCTGTGATCAAACTGGTTTGTGGTTTTCTTTGATTTGTTTTCTTTTGTTAAACGGCTAGACCTACAAGCCCTTCTGGGAGAGAGGATGGGCAGGAAAAGGTTGATTGGGTGAAGTAGCCTGTGGTGAAGTATTCCTGTAAGAGGCGAATGAAATTGGGCTGTACAAAAAAGAGCTTTTTCACATTTAGGCCGTGCAAAAAATGGGGTGATAGCAATTTGGGCTGTGCAAAAAGTGAGGCGAGAACAAACCTGCAATTCTTAGTGGTGATCTATCTAACCAATGAGAGCAGGAGAAGAGAGAGAGAGAGGACCCCCAAGGGCTGGTATTTGCAAGGGGAGGAATCAGTACAGGTTGAGGGGAAGGTAGAGCTGGAAGATTAACAATTTTCAAGCCACTGAATATTAATATATTTGTGGTTGCCAGAATCTAGTCAAGTCAAGAAGAGATCTCTGTAGATATTGCAAAACAGTTGCACCTATACTCAAACTAAGCATTAAAAGGTAGAGCTGCTACTAAAAAACTACTAAAAAATGTGAACAAATGAGAAAACATCTAACTGTTGATTAAGTATGATGTTTTGATGAATAGTTAGTATTCTAACACATGATATTGCATATTGCATTTGCACACGGGGGCTCAATGGCTGACTATCAGATGTAATTTCACACTAATCAAAGATTGCACTGTCAGCCTATTATGAGTCAGATACCCCTGGGAC